TCAGTTGTCATCACACATACATCACTTGTCTTGATACTTACCCCCTGGTAGAGACTGAATTGAGACAGTAGTTTGCTGGAATAGTTTATAGTATAGTTTAGCATTGATTAGTATTTCTTGAACTTAATGAATAGAACACAACATGTTTAGGCAAATGCAGGCTCTCTTATGCTGTGACTAAAAATGATTATGTACCTACGCCTGCATTGGAGGATTTAATTACTGTATGTTGTTTTTTTCTAAATAAAAGTGTTAAAAAGCTTTTCATTCAAAGATGAAATGTCTAGAATTACCTTGAATGAATTACACCTGTTTTCTGGTCGACATAATTTGTCAGGCAGTGCTCTTCTGTATAATAGCCATGCTGAATAAGACTAGTGAACAATTCCATCCTCCAAGGACACTTCTCCGTGGGAGACTGCAGTGTTTTAAGTGTTAGTGTTCTCGCCTTGACAAGCTTATCAATGCTTGTGAGGGAGAGTGTTCAGACACTGACAGTGCACCGATAATATGAAATTACCTTTTTCACACCCCTTAGTTTATGTAAATTAGTTAATTTTACTCCACATCATGTATGACTCTTTATTTAGAAAAGGCTCTGTGGAAATGAAAACATGTTTTATTTACAATTTTTCAGTGCAAAATATGGATGTTTCCCCCAGATGATTAGCATACATGACATAATACAGGTACAAAATGTATGTTTTTCGTCTTCTGTAAAATCACACGTTTTTAAACCCCCGTGTTTGGAATCATGATATATGGTAACTCTGATGAAAAAAAACTGCACCCACAGCTGATATTGACGTACTCACATGATAAGAAAAGAGAATTACCAACACTGACACAATATGCTGGGTCTTTTCTCATTTATGTTAATTGCACAAAAACTTCCCACGCATATAACACCTACTACTTAATGATGACATAAAAGAGGAATTTTAAGCATAGCTGTTCACTTAGTAATAAAAAAAAAAAACAGCCAATGTGGATTTATAAATTATTATGGATCATGAGAGGTGTATTGGTGGGAGGAGTGCAATAAAAAGTAAGCCTTAAAATCAGCCTCTGTAAACTGCTGCAAACTGAATTACTCCAACTGTACTGTCGTTGAACACCGGTGAAAATAAAGAAATTATGATTTAAGTTGTCATGGATCGAACACGGTCTTCCACAAGAAATTGCTTGAAACGGAAATAGCACAGGCTTAAATCAATCACACCATTGCAAATTTAATCAAGTAAAGGTACAAAATGCATCCAGTTTTCAGGAAGGAAAAAAAAGAAAAGAAAACATCTTTATTCAGTATTTCAATAACCTTTATGTACCTTGAAATTAAAATACACTTAAATTGACTGTACTGTAAGTATGGCAATACATACACACATATAAACATGTATGTGGTGCATTTTTTTTTGTATGTATGCTGTATATCATTAGCAAATGTACAATACGTACAGCTATGTGCAAGTTTATTCTCTGTACATGAATATGAAAAGTAAAAAGATTTTTCATATCTTAATGTTACCCCCTCATACTTGCATGTGGAATCGCAAGTGCACATACATACACATTAACATGCGCACTACGACAATTCACAAAGGATTAAAGCAATTTGTTACTTTTTAGGAAATGAATTTGCATCGGCGACTTTGTAGATGACCTACACAGCCCGCAGCAATTCAATGGAAAGGTGGTTTTGTAAATAAACTATACGTCAGTATGAGCAGTTTGACTTCATCTTTGCCCTCAAGGTGCCTTATTCTTTTCTGTGACTTGTATTCGACAGTGTGAAGACAGTCTTCGTGAGGTAGACTGCTCAGGTTCAAGGGCAAGCTTGAATTTTTTTTGTTCTTTTTTTTGTTGTTGTTGTTTTAACTTTTTTTTTTTTATCCACAAATGCATGACATTCAAAATGACAGGACATAAGTACTACATGTACAATATGTAGCAATGAGGTAGAAATGGTTATAAAGAATGCCAGACTATAAAACTACATAAGGATGGAATCAACATATTAAAGCAGTTCTCAAACAAAATGTAATTACAGAAATACTGACAGGTTTTGATTAAAAAAAAAAAGCGATTCAAGTGGCTGAGTTGGCATCACTGTGAGACTCGATGTGCTTATCATACTGTAGGTTCTGCCCATGTGTTGGTAGCGACTGTTGGCCCTTTCATCACATCACCCTCAATGACGAATGACTATTTTTAATGATAACATCTATAGCATGTGAAATGTACACCCTATCTAAATAACTGTCACTGTTTTCCTCATATCAGATCTTGCTGTAAGGCTTTTTACGGTCTATTTTTGATGAAAATTAAAAACATTGAAATGTAACTTGTTATCCATGTGCATTGAGTTACACTGTGCTCTATTGCAATGATAGAGAGACAAAAAAAAAAAAAAGAAAGCAAATGCGTGACAAGATCCGTTGTTGTCGGAGTGATTACAAGCACTGCTTAATTTGAGTGGAACATTTCCCCTTATACATCTCTCTGTAAGTTCGTGAACAGTCACCCTCTTAAACTTGTGAAATCTGCACTTAGTTAATGGCACTTAGGGCTTCTTATCGCCTTCTTGTCAAAAACCCTGCAATGAGTATAATCACTTCTTAAAATTAGCAATCATGGACAAACAATTAAATTCCAGTGTGACAAAGCACTGTGTGTTATGTGACATGTTCTGCTAATATCTGTATTTTTCCTTTTTTAAGATAAACAAATTAACCACGTTTGTATTTGTACTCCAGGCAGAGGTAAATGACTGTTCATAAAGTCAGACAGGATGAAACTGGAAAAACTGTTTTACAAAGCACACCATCCTCTTGGAAATATCTGACATACTGTGATACAATAACTAAACAATGCCCACTAAGAGTGCTATGAAATCACCAATTTCAAACATCCGCAGCTCACGCTGTGGTGTAAAGGTCACTGAAATTCACAACTTCTTTTATCAAGTCATCATACTCAGAAGAAAGCTTTTCTACTTTGGCTTCAAGGAGGATTTCAACCATTAAACACCTCAAAGTGCAGTAATGAATGACACAATATTTAAGGGGCATTTAAAAATTCAATTTCCTGTGTCACTACACAATTTTCATGTGTAAAGCTTTCAAATGGACTCAAACTTAGGATGGAAACTATTCTATCAAAACAAATCTGTCTGTTGACCTCCTGGATGCGGTGTACAGTAAGTCTCAATAAAAAACAAGTGTAGGTTGCAGCTACTTAATTCATCTTTAAAGTTTTTGTGTAAAGATGACACTGTGTAACTTTGGGGTAATCCATCATGTGTAAAAATTTAAATGCTAGCTTAAACTAGAAGACCCACATCCATATAATTTGAGAAAACTTACAAACAAACATAAATGGGCATTCATGTAGGTGGAAAACACATTATATATTGAATGTGTTGAATCTGACAAATGATCTGGATTAATAGAAGTGTGGGGTTGGGTGTAATGTTTTACCAATTACTGTAACTTGTTTGCATTCAGGGAGAATGCTGTGGCCCATCTTATGACTGAATCTATAAGACAGATCATGTGAAACTACAGGAAGATGTTATTGTTCATAGGCGTGCTAGCTTTCTCTGCTGCTACGTAGTTTCTCTGCTTTCGTCTGGATGCTCTGTACAGTATACATCCCAGTACAGGTCTGGAAGAGTAAATTATACAAAACCAGGTAGCAGTGATCAATATGCACACTGTCTAAAAGAAAAAAAAAAGAACAGGTAAAAATGTGCAATAGGCAATGAACATGAAGGGACCTCCTTTGAAAAACAAACACAAGGTCCTTTAGTGCCTCTGCAGTATTATACACCTACAGTGCTATCTACTTCAGTGGCATTTTTCCAATGTGCGAGTGCTTTGCTTTCCTTACTGCTCAGAGGACGTAATACATTCAATAACATTTTTCACTTGCCAATTCAGCTGTCAGTCGTGCTCTTTCATTGCCAAAGAAACGTTGCGTGGAAATGTACTGGTAGCAAGTAGTGATTAACAGCACTGTAAACACAACAAGTTTAAATGTGAAAATTACAACACAGTAAAAAAACAACAGTTTTTATGTGGAGTGAAACTAGCCTTCAAGTCATGATCTTAAAAAGGAATGCCACTCAATTCATGGATTAACAGTTATGGCCTAAGACGGACAAACCGATTATTTTGTAAACTTGATATTAAAATAATGGAGTTGGTATTGAGCCAGAGAATGTGTATCAAACATCACTGCCATTGCTGTCAAATTTTCTATTTGACCTCACAGATTCAGGGGCCAAACAAGCAATGGTAACAACATCCATTGGTGAATGTTAGCCAATATAGATCAAATCAACACGTTCTTACTCCCAACTCGTCAAATACTAATGCTTTGTCAGTGGCCCTACACGTCAAACTATGACGCTCTAGGTCAGTGGTTCTCAACTGGTGGGTCACAATCCAAAAGTGGGTCACGGGTTCATTCTGAATGTGGCGCAAGTGACTCGTGAAAGTGTTAAGTTGGTAAAAAACACACTTTATTTTGAAGTATAGTGAATTTCCGGCACAGAGCTTTTATTTTGAAGTGCCACTTCCTGCTGAGAGAGAGTAAATAATGGACAGCTACTTAACAGAGACAGCAAACTAACTCAGTGACATGGCCAAATGCAAGTATGATGCTGAATGAATCAAACTGTGTGGACCTTGAACTAATGAGTAAGGAGAAATCTAGATCACGATATTGGACAGTTGGAAAGCACTGCTCTAGGTTACCCTTCAGCATCAGTTTTGGACACTCAATTTAAACTTTCAAATTAAACTTAAAACCTAGGTATAACAAAAGCACGTGGTTAGGTTTAGAAAAAAGCATCAGGTTTAGCTTAAAATAAGTTTGTTGCTAATGTAATGTAACATCATGTGACATGCATCACTAGCATAGTATGCTACACATGCTGGCACAATTTGTTGTTATTAAAATAACTCTACGGACTTTTGGTTTCACACGGGACAAGAACAGCTGTCTCCTGGGTGAAAGTCCAGAGTTTGATTGACCCATCCACCTCATCTCTGATCCACCCGTTTTACTTTGTTGTTCTTTATATTACAGTAGTTGCCACCACCTGATGTGTCTCGTACAGCCGCTGATGAGTGCCTCAGTCCATCAGTATCAAAAGCTGAGGGCCACTGACAAAATGTTGGCATTTGTTGAGTTGGGAGTGAGGCCGAATCGTCCTAAGGCAAAGGCATAGTATATCCCAAGCCTGATATTCAGTGGGATTCCCCTTTAAGTGCATTATGTGGTGAGAAACAGGGTTCTTGGGAGTTATAAAAAATGTAAAGCTAATAGATTTTGCACACAACAAAACACTGTTTGGTGTTCTCTCAAAGGCTTCCTCATCAAACAAGCAGAATAGGTGCTGACATTTTGCTGTCTTCATGTATTTGTCTTTCAGAGATAACTAACAAACTGAGGTAGAAAGGAACTTAGGCTATACATAATCCTTAGGTTTCATTAATGATAAAACAGCAGCAGGATGGAATGAAATAGCTCGGGGCAGCTGTCTTCCTCAACCCCGAGATGTTTGTCTGCACCTTTCAAATTTTTCTCAGCTCTGCATCACCACCAGCTAAAACAAAGAACCCCAAACAAATTACTTTTTTTTTGTCTTGTACATAAACCAGAATTACTCTCATACATTCATTGTAGGAACCTTCTAGTTTCATTTTGAGCTTTTTGAGGTATTATATAGCCTTACATGGTTTGATGATGGAATTTTAAATGCAAGCCAAATGCTCTTGTAGTGTGTAGTGCTTCGACACAAGTTTATGAGGTACTGTACATATCATCATCACTTTCCTGAGTTTTCAAATAGAGAACATCAATAGAAATAATGATAGGATTTTACATTTACGTGAAACACTGTGAATTACTACTGAAACGATATTTTTAACAGCAATTACATAGTAATTTATTCTTTAGATTGAAGTCACATTGTAAAATAATATCTGTTTTTGTAATTTCATCTATAGTGGAGAGGCTAGTACAGCAACCAAATTCACCGTAAGTTTGCTAGAAAAACGCATCGTTCCAACAACAACAACAACAGAAAAAGTATGTCAGTGTTATTGGAATTAAAGGATTTACACATACATAAAACCTGTGTAAGGTAATGATGCCCAACTGAAATGATGCCAGTAAATTTAATTTTGCTCAAATTAACCACAACTGTTCACAGAGAGCACGAAACAGACACAGCTGTAGAACACTAATGGAAAAGAGAAAGCAAGTTTTTTGTCTCATTTTAAAGCTTTTTTTTTTATATTAGCACATGTCACCAATGAAGATTGTGAGGCAAAAAGAAAAAAAAAACTTAAACAGCACCACCTCAGGCACTTGATAGCAACTAAATCTCAAGATCAGCGGAATAGTATGTATATATATTTATATATATATGTATATACAAAAACGGGGGGCATCTTCTTCCAAGTCGTTTGAGTTTTAGTCAGCCATATAAAGCATTTAATTAACTTTACCAGTGTGTGACATCCAGACTGTCATCTTCTATCTAAAGCCTTCAAGGACAATCCCTTTGCTGTATGTTCATGTCACCACTGTTTGTTATTTTTCCTGTTCACTGAAGGCCAAACATTTATTTGTATTCAATTACTGGACTTAAAGAAATTGTGTTTGATGAGTCTCTTTCATTGACTACAACCAAACATTTTATTCCACTCAGTGTACATGTCAAGTTCTTTTTGTGATATGCTGGGCTGGAATTTGCAAAACACATTGTCAAAGTCTTGGTAGGAGACCGGTCTCATCTGAGTGGGATGGATAGATGACAGGTCAGTACCAGGAATGCCATGGAGAGGACCTACCACAGCCTCTTGACACAGCTGAGCCACGTCCTGTCCAGAAAAGCCCTCTGTCCTCTGAACCAGTAGTGACATCTCTTTGTCACTGAGACAGTAGTTGTGCTGTGAGAGCAGTTGGCTGATTATCTGATGTCGTGCTGTCCCATCAGGCAAGGGGATGAGCAGTCGCTTGGCAAAGTACCTCCGTAGGGACTCTGGGATCTCTTCAGGCTTATTGGTGGAGCAGACCACGAGGACGTGGTCCTCAGCGGAGGTCAGAATGCTGTCAAGCTGCATGAGGAGCTCAGCCTTGAGGCGATTCACTGGGCTCTCCTCGCTGAGCTGGGCTGACAGCAGCAGGTCCACCTCTCTGATAAACACTACCGCTGGCTGGCGACACCGTGCCACCAGAAAAGAAGCCTGGATGATCTTGTCCCCCTCCCCCAGCCACTTGGTCACCAGAGCTGAGCTGCTGAGTCTCAAGAAGGCAGCCCCCAGTTGGCTGGCCATACAGTGGGCCAGCAGCGTTCTACCAGTTCCCTGAGGTCCAAATAAAAGGAGGCTCCGAGGTAATGTGGCAAGTCCACTAAACATATCTGGCCTCAAAATGGGCCAAAGTATCTCCTCTTTGATGGCTGCTTTGGCCATATCCAGACCTGCGATGTCACTCCAGTCCACTGGAGGGCCCTGCTGAAGGATTTCTGTGGTTACCATCTCAACCAGGTTGGAGTCACTGTTTTTCAGTTGTTCCTCTGCAGCATGGATGGACGAGGTAGCCGTACCGATGTCAGGCCCTGTTAGGGAGTGAGAGAGGTGCTGTCTGTGCTCTTCAGTTTGCTCACTCATGATGGGGGATCCAAACTTGCTGTAGGGCTCGCCAGTTCTGAGATCACCCACAGAGCTTTTGGTTGATCCATAGGATGGAGGAGTTAGTGCTCTGCCAGAGTGCACAATAAATTTTCTCTGCTGATCAGAAGACATTGGCTGTTTGGTTGGCTTAAATGCTAGAGACTCTGCGTTTCTGTCAAAGCCATTGCCCCTGTTTGAGTCTGAGCCGCTGTCTGTTATTCTGTACATAGGGCTCTGTGAGGAGCGCTGTTGGTTGTAGTTAAAATTACCATAGCTAGAGTCCATATCTCCATGTCCGCTCATGTAGAAAGCTTTTCGTTTTAATGAGTTGGATGTGCTGCCATTCAAAGGTGTTGGTGCAATTGGTGTATGATTATGGGACTGGTAGGTGTAGCCGGGCAGGGTCGAAGGAGGGATTGGTGTAGGAGCTGCAATACCGGACGGCAGATAAGCAGAAGGAGGGGGTGCTCCCCCAGGGCTATAACCGGGGCCAACAGCAGTCTGAGAAGGATACCCTGTTGGAGGATAATTGTAGTTGGGAAGGTTTGGAGACCCGGCGTTGTAGCTCGGCACTAAGGTGGGGGGAGGAGGCGGGGGTGGTGGTTGTAAGAGCCCGGCACTGTGCAAAGGAGAGGGGTGTGGGGAGGGGAGGGCTGGGGTACTCTGGCCACTGTAGCTAGAATGCAGGTAGGAGCCGTTGTAGCTGGCAGTATATTCCTGAGAGGGGAGGCCCGAGTGGAGAGTAGTGGCTGTGTGGCTCCCACAGTTACTGCTGGAATAGCTGGGCTCAGACAAGCTGCTGGCCACCCCCGGGGAGCTGCCTATGCTAGCCGACACATCTGTAGGGGGTAGGGCAGCTGTCATTCCAGCTTTGCTCACAGATATAACATCTGGAGCACAGTTCATTGGGTAAATCCCCTCCTGCCAGGACTCATTCTCTGACTTTCGTCCATTCATGAGTCCAGTGGTGCTATCAGAGTAGGAACACAGCAGGGCTCTCTCATTTGGGCCCTCTAGGATCCCAGAGTACTTCTCTGCATATTTCTTGAGCAGATTGGAGGCAGTCAGTGCAGAGATGTCATCGTTTGCCCACGCATACTGGTATGTTCGCTGTAAGTGCCCCCGGTAGGCCTCTACTTTGTGTGCCGGCGAGCGGGTGGTGGATGAGATGTCAAAGTGTTGTTCTGCCCATTGTGTGTGCTCTGGGGTCCACTGCATCTTTAGACCTACATATTCCGCATAAGGAAGAAATATGACAAAGCAAGCATTAAATCAGGGTTAATGGTCATTTAAAAATAATAATCTCACATGTTAAAATATTCTATAATAATCAAATACTGTGGAAAAAGTCAATAATGCATTAATTGCTTTCAATTGTTTGGGTGGAAAAAGGTGGGGAATTACAGAAAAAAAGCATGAGCCTATTCTGACATAATTAGGAGAAAAAAGGAGTTAACTTCCAGGAAATGCTTGAAGTAATTTGCATCAAACATCCATGTGACAAACAGACAACACTAACAGAACACACATCACGGTCAGTATGAGGATATGGGACCAAACACCTGGTTAGCGTGGTATAATCCACCCAACGCAGAGCAGAATGACACAGACATCACGGGTCAGTCTATAATCCAACTCTCATCTGAGGCATTCTGAGACAGTTTCAAATCTGCTTGGAGGAGAGCAGCAAAGCAATCTTCCTTGGCAGCGCTCTGTTGCTTTCATCACACAAACCCCTCAGCCCAGCATGAATTACATCCACATCCAGTCTGCCTACTGCTTCCTAGTCCACAGAGTGAGGGAAGGGAAGAAAAAAAAACATGCTTCACTTGTCTTTTTCTCTGCAGCATCTCTCAGCCACTCCATACAGCCTTGAGGGTTTGAATGACATAAATACTCCAGTTAAATCCTTAAGTCATTCTGCAAATAAAAGTTTTTACACGTGCTGTCATCTTTTACTCTGTTTGGGATTATCAGAAGCTGTACTATAGCCCCAGAGAATGAAGAATATTAGAGGTTACGGTTAAAAACAATCAGTAATAGTGTGCAGAGCCTCACACATCTTACATCAACACTAATCTGACCGAGAGCTACAAGGAGATACAAGAGGAGACGCGTTTAACCAAACTTTCCCTGCCTGTAACAATGGTCTTTGCCTTTGCTAATCAGGCACTGCAGTCCCATACTTTATACTTCAGTAGGTTAAATCCATATCACAGGATTTAGGCAACAAACAGCCACTGTCCAGAGGCAGATTACAAACGCAGTGTTTGTCTCCGGATTCCCTACTGACTCCCTCCCAGCTATTTGCCCACCCGCCACACTAGACACCAGGAGCTAATTAGCAGGATGATGCTGCACTAATTGTGTTAATTTACAAGGTTTTAGTCAAAGAGATCCATGCTATGGCTCACATGGTTGTCAACCATCCAAGCTAATGATTAAGAAAAAAAGCCCGAGGCAAAAAGCCCGGGCAGACAAACACGGTAGCCATACTGTGCTGGAACAGAAAGGTTCATCAACATACAGGAACTAGAATGTGAAAACAAAGTGCATTATCACAGGGGACAGTGACAAAGATGACTACAATTACAAAGATAACAAAACGTCTCATGCAAATCAAAACCTAATTTACTTGAAATGTGTATGAAGTGAGGAAAATGTATGAATGACACCCTTGAGGATAGCAGAAGTCTCACTGGCTGCTGCTTTACACCCATGTGCATCTACTTTCACTGAAGTATTAGTCACCCACTACATTCTAGGTCAGCTGTTATGTTAGGCTTGTAGGTGGGCGCAATGCAAAAGTAAGACTTTTAAGTGGAAATATTTCCCCACCCTGGCACTACCTGTCCCTCTTGTTATTACTGCATTAAAATACCTGTCAAAAACTGTTAAATATGATATTTTTTCCCACATTATTGCTGAGAAAAATGTTCCTTTCAAAACAAACAAAACACTATTTGGGCGACAGCAACCGGCGCTGTGATGTCTGCTAAAAAAATCTCAGCCATTCAGAGCATTTACTGACACCGCAGTGCAAGTATCAGGATAATGGTTTTTGTAAAATCATTCAGTGGAGTTCATTAACACTCAAGGCACATTTTGTCAATAACAAAATTGCACACAGCTTATTGAGTGAGATTCTTCTATTACTGTTAATCCTCTCTGAACAATGTGCCACTTTGGACAATCAAAGGAGTGCTACTCGCAAAGTGTACTTGAGATCTTTGAGCATCAGGTATTTTATAAAATGGAAACCATCCAAGATGATTATCTAAATACAGCAGCACACAGTGAAAAACTGACTAAGAAAGACTTATATTGACTCTGTATAGACAGTGATTCACAACCTGAGGTTTGGATTTGTGCAGTGTTTTCTCTTCTACAGACAAAAAAGTGTATTTTATTAATGCAGAACCTACCCAGAGAAAAGCAAGGATAGGAGGACAGACAGTTTTAGTTTTACATACAATAGCAGTAACATAATGGGTGTCCTCATAATTTGTGCTGTTGTGTGTAAAATGTTTCAGTGCATCAACCAGTTTTCTCTTAATGAGATATTTATAAGGCATTAAGACATTAAGTAGTTTGGTTTAGACAAAGGTTACAGAGTGGATAGTAAATGCAGCCAGTGCACATAAACACTAACACATAAATAGACACAAATGCACCCACGTGCACACACAAGCAGTGCATTAGCATAATGATCTCGTACTTTGGCATTACGGTAAAACGGTTGTCCTTTATTCCACCTGCCTGGATATTCAAATACAACATCCACAGGTCCCTTTGTCTTTCTTTGAAATGGTATAATTACAGAGCGCTCCATTAGTGGAATGTTTTCAGATAGCCTCGGGGCTGCAGCTCAAATTCCACTGATCAGCCACCAACAAATACAGCCTTTGTTGGACTATTGTGTTTGTCAATTCAGGGATCTGAATAATCCTCTGGGGTAAATCTGAGATAATTGTAATATAACCAATTATCTGAAAGCATTTCTTGGTGTGACATTTATTCAATTTTTTGTTCTGTGTATCTTAATAATGGACTCATACCTTAATGCTGCTTGAATTTAAGATTCATTTAAGAAATATTTGTCTTAACAGCTCAAAATTCTATAGAATCACCACTGCGATTAAAAGTGACGGTTTATGTTATCATATCCTTTAGATGATCTCACACTCACTGAAGAAAAGCAGACCAGGTGGAGGCAAAATGCGTTTGACATGTGATGCCAAGGCGTTATGCTACGCTATGGTGTTTAATTTCTGGTTCAGTGATCATCGTCGATGAAACAGAGATGCTGACCTTTTTGGGAACTATTAATCTGGTAGCCCAGGCCGTTTTTTAAGCAAACAAGAGTGGGCCTTCACTCTGTCCATCCAATTTCCCAGTGCGTAAATTGGACCGCCGCTTGCACAATTCTCTATTCATTACTGTGCTGCTGAAAGGAAGCACAGAGGTGGCAGAGCGGTTTTCTTTTCCTCTTTCTGTGTGTGCGTGAGTGTATGTGAGACAGAGAGAGAGACACAGAGGGAGAGAGTGAGAGCAAAATGCCTTCCAGGAGGATTCCCAAGCATAAAGAGCTGGACTTTCCTTCGTCTTTTTTGGTTTGGGGGAGGGGAAGGTGGGAGGGTTGAGGGAGAGGGGGGAGGGAAGTGAAAGCTGTCGTAATTGAAACGTGGCCTAATCAGACTCATTACCATTTTTACCAATTTGCACCACCAAAGATGCTTATTAGGTAACTGTGTTTAATAAGCCGCTCTTTAGAAAACTAACTGTAATGAGCTCTTTAAAGTCAGACTTGAGCGTGATTATTCACTGGAAGTGTTTTGCAGAGCTGAAGCAGACTGGTACATTTAGACATGTACAATGTCATAATTAAGCTGCACAAACTCTGCACTCCACACCACACAATAGTCCCAGCTGAGGCTGCAGACATGCTGAAAAGTATTTATAATTACTGATCATTACAGCCCTGGGATTTTCATCGCGGGACGTAAACATAATTATGGGAGCTTTTGCTTTTATTCTGCACACACAGACCACTCTACTTGACAAGCGTGCAAATATTGGAGACAGACAGTAATTACGTTTATAAATAAAAACAAGCTCATATTCATATTCAAATTCATTGGAGATATTCTAAGTAGGGGTGGGGCAAAACATTCTAATACAATGTGAAATGGTAATCGGCACGGCTACAGAGTCTCATTCATCTCACATATCAAGTTAAGACTATTTAAACTCAATTTAGAGCTCCATGTGGCAGTAATTCCAATCTTTAGACGGCAGGGTGCCATTTAACCCCTCATTTAGAAAAGATATGTCTTCCTCAGTCACCGTCTTTTCCAGGGCTACTGCCCATACATTTCACAGTCTGACCACCCATGGCAGCAAATTACTACATGTCTCCACACTATCAAAGTCCACAGATCCCAGTGGATTCAATACTAATCCGAATACAAAAGGTGGAAAATGACCGTGCGAGCATGCGTTTACAGTGTTTATTGTAGTCAATCTGCCAGTCAGGCAGACAACTTCCTGTGACAGGACCTCCCTTTGTAATCAGAATAATACTCGTGATCGTACAGGGAGCAAAGTGAGTGAGACAGTCCATTGTGACAGAGCTGTTATCATTTCAATTCAGTAAACACAGATTAGTCATTTAAAGCAGCGTTCTTTTGGTATGCAACACTGTTAACTGCAGCAGAACAGTATTTACTGTATGACTACCCTGTGTTACTTAAAAAATACCACACCTCAAAACCCTTACATCATGTAAGACTTCAGTTAGGCTAATGATTATATTGATTAACCATGAATAACATTAGATCAATATGATAAAACATGAGATAAAAGACTATACCAAATATTAGATATTAGATAATATATCTAAAAAAGATTTTGTATATCCAGAGAGCAATTAGTCTGATATATAATATAATTAATGATGTAGTCAGTGGAAGGTCAAATATTAATCACAAGACCCTAAAATATGACATATTTTGTCTGACAATGAGAAAAAAGTATTCATTGAACACTGTGACAAATTTGATAAAATAAATCAACAACTTTATCTGGAGCATGTTTTACTTGATAAATTGTATTATTTTATAATAACTATAAAACCAACCTGATATTGATACATCCTAATATTGACAAATAATTTATGTCACTCATTGAATCTACCCCTGCAAGTTAACTAATCAGTGTGTTGGTA